TACACTCAGAACTGTAACAACAAATAAAAACAACTTAGAAAACACCAAAACCCATGTTTTATTTTTTTACCGGGTCCGCTAAAATCAGTAAGATTTTCCAATGTCGTCGTCGAGGGTATACAAAGAATTTGAATTTTTCGAGTTTAATCATTCGAAATTCGGAGTGCAAATTATTTTAACGAGCGCTGACCAATAAAGAAATATAATTAATTAAAAATAGAGATATGCACAGCGACATTCAGCAATTTGGTGACCTCTACTAACCACAACACCTCTTTCAGTCTCGCAATCCCTAGAAAGTTTAGCAGAGCTTCTGAAACTAGGCGTATATGTTGTAATCCTTTGGCCACATTGAGCCCAGACTTTCAGTAGGTGCAGTGGTGTCTCCTTAGCCGAGTCGCAAAGGCGAAAGAGGTATTTTACCAGATTTCTAGCTGGTAAAGATGTCCTCTTGGTCAGCAGTGTCCCGTGAGGATGCCCGTAAAAATCCTCCGGTTCACCTTAGGCAGGTTAATAAGAAGTCTGTTTATTTTTGGTTTATATCCCCTATTAGTCTTTTGGCTTAGCAAAGTTCCGTGGTGCTTGCCAATTTTGTTCTCCCGTTCTTACTACTCCTCTTTTACTTGATCTGTCCGCTACGTCATTTACTTCCCTTACACTGTGGTCTGGGTCACAGCTGGCTTACTTCGAATGCTTATTGGACACACCAAATCAGCAGACATACGTTTTGGCGAAGATTAGTTCCGTACGGTTGTTACTTCTGCAGCGGTCCGTCGAAATTTCCTGACAAAAGCTGCTGTACTAAAGAGATACCGGGAATCTCACCCATCAGGCATATCCAGCGGAAGAAGATGGAAGGAAGTATGATGTCCTGAAACTTCAACTCTGGCGTGAGAAAGTTTTTGGTCATCCGTGTGTCCAATCCCACGAAACATCACGACAGTTCACACTGCGCATTTTTGGTGGATGAGGTCAAATGTCGTATGGTCAGAAACACCTAGGCTCTACTTTAACCAGCGAAGTGCAAGCGGCCATCGGGGAGACAAAAGCCTCCAAAGCAGAGACCAAAAATAACTGTTATCTCGAATTGACAAATTGAAAACGTTGCACGAATTCTGAAGTTTAACGAAAACGTTATTTCACACACAGTTATTAGATGAAAAATATTTTTTATTTCGCGATAAGAGTTATTTTCCAACGTTATTTTTTACTTTGCTTGATAACAGTTATTGCCCAACGTTTATTATTTACGTTGCTTGATAACAGTTATTGCACAGCGTTTATTTTTTTCGTTGCTTGATAACAGTTATTATCCAACGTTTATTTTTATGTTGTCTGATAAACGTTGTAAGATAAGAATATTGATGAAAACAGAGATGGAGAAGAAGATTAATATGATAAGAATAAAAGAGGAGGAGTGAAATAACTGCTATCAGACAACGTAAAAATAAACGTTGGGAAATAATTCTTATTGGCGACGAACAACATATTTCTCTTGCATACAGTTATGAGTCTTATTGTCGAATTAAAAAATATTTCTCATCTAATACTCGTTATTGAACAACGTTTTTCCGATGAAACTTATAACTGTTATGTCTATACTCCAAAATTACTGGTCGTACGGCCGTGCATTTCAATTCTAAACCACTTAAGTCCAGTTGGTGTAGGCAATCTCACGCGACACCAACCCCCTCTTTGATTGCACCCTCAAGTCCACTCAATTCAACTATAACCACTTTCCTTTTGGTCGTCGAACCATTTTTGAAACATCAGTTTTTTGGGCCAATCGTAGTAGTCGAGCTGGACGACTTGACACTTGATAGGCTAACTAGACAAGACCAAAACCAATATCACAACGCTGCGAAATTTTACTTTTTTCTTCCCCCTCAAATAATTATGTTATTTTTTAAAATATCTACGTACTTTAAATTAACCCAAATCGACCCCGTGTCGCCATATGGCAACGCAAAATAAATCATGTATGGTGTAAAACAAAAACCGCTCACTTGCTAGGTGAGGTAAGGCTAATCTGGCCGGCGATAAGCTGCACATAGACCGGTAGGAGCTCGTTTACGCGTTAAAGTAGACATCAAAAGTCAAGTCTCAGTTCTACTTTTGAAATGTTCTCTAACTTCTCGAATTAATAGGCTTTGAAGCATTTTAATCGCGTTTTTGATAGTGCAGGACATCGGCAGAAAACATGTGTCACGGTTTCCTGCACCTGATTATACTAGTGATATCCTTAACTGTTCATGAGCGGCCACCAATATATTTCCCGTAAGCAATGCGGTTATAACTCTGCAAACTTACTTTTGCGCATTGCTTCGAGTCCCGGAAACTTCTCCATTGCGGCATTCCTCCACACCAACATTGCGCTTTCACAGCAGTATACAATCCAAGACTACTCCCAAATACTTTATTTGATCTGTAATTGACAGCTTGATGCTACCTAGCCTCGGGGGTCTGCACACTGGGACCTTATATCTTATTGTGAAAAAACCACTAACCCATTCAAATTGACAAAAATCGTCGTTGTGCTACTTTTCCTACCAAAAATTTACTCCTGTATCCCTTTTGAACGTAGGATACGCCTATATTGTCAATAAATGTATTAAATTATTGTGTATGAAAAGTTTAAAGAATTTGCCCGCACTAGTATGCTCTAGCCACTAACGGCACCCCAGGCATACGCTGGCGGCACCCCAGGGTGCCGCGTCACCCACTTTGGGAAAGCCTGCCATGTGGCAAGGACCGATATCGGACGAACTATACTACTCCCAAAGATTTAGTCATATTTGTTTCCTTTACTTTAAAGCTATTTTTACCCTGTATATAGAAGAAAGCAAAAAAATAAAAAAAGAATAAATAAACAAATGGTTACAAACCGGTTTTTGCGTATATGCACGTATACAAACAGATCTGCAACTTCTAATCAGATTTTTTAGAAAAATTCCAGGTATGCAGTTTTAATAAAGTGCATGTTTGAAGTTCCTAGAAAATCGCGTAGATTTTTGGCGTTTAATCATAATTAGATGCAAACTTTAACTTTTACCTCAGTCCCGAAAGCAGTTATTGATTCAATAATAAGTCCTTGATATGTTAAAAATCCCCCGATAGTTCCATTAAAAACGGGTTGACAGACTTATAACTACTTTCGATAAAATTTTGTAATGATGGGCTTGATGACAACAATGCTACTTTAAGAACAATTAAACAAATTTATTGGGAAATGCTAACGTTAGAAAACCAAATACATGTTAAAAAATTGCATGTTTAAAAATACGACAAAACCTTTCATCGAGCAGTATGAGCGACATGCACTCTTTCCTCCGCTCCTCAAATTTGATTTACCGCATTCCATTTTTCATTGTATCGTTCTTGTGTCAATAAAATTCGCTTAATATTTTCACAATCCTCAGGTTTTGGCAATACAATGGCCACATAGCCTTCGCCTTCGGCAGCAGTTTCCAATCCTTTTGGTTCGTCAACCCATTTTGTGTTTACTTCAACTAGTTTGCTTTGTACACAACTGGGTATCTTATAGGTTTTGTCCTGCTCTGTGGTCAGTATTGCTAATGTTGAGTCATGCTGCAGCACCATACCGCCCTTCTTACCTTTTCCTTTCACCGTATTTTTGCTGCGATCCGTATTTCCAATATCAAAGGTCAATGATTTAATGCCCGCTTTTAATGCTGGATGTTCCGGAGCTAAGCAAATTAAGCAAACACGATTTGAATGAAAGAGTACTTGATAAGGCGCTGGTTCTGCGCCTTCTTTGATGTAATAGTAGCGTGTAAAAAAACGGTCAACGACACTGGGGTAATTTTCAACCCAATCATCAGTTATGGGCGGCACTTTAATGCCGCCAATGATTTGGGGATCGTGTTCATAGTAGTAGGGTAGCAGTGGATCTGTCGGGTTCATGAATATTGGGATGGTGGTGTATTTTGATGTGTAAGGACGCAGACGGCTATGAAGAAACCAAACGTTCCCTTATGCGCGTTTGTCGTTCCGCCGCTTTGACGCGATTAGCTGCAGCACGAGCCTGACGTTCACGGTTGAGGCACTTCACTAGTTGAGAATCAATGTCGTTGCAGACTCCCAAAAACTTGCTGAATTTGTTCTGAAGACATATTTGTTGATAATTATATAAGCAACTAAAAGCATTAAATACATGGAACTGAATATTTATTTACCTCTGAGTGACAATTATTGAGCTGCTCGATTAGTTGGTTGCATTCGGATGTATGCAGGTGAGGCGATAGATCCGTATGCATGCTTTCCGAATAGAATCAATAACAAAACAATCTGCACTTTTTGGTTGCTTTCTGGCAAATTGAAATGTCAATTATAATGGATTAGAGCTGCCAACTTTTCTGCCAAGCGCAAATGAAGGTAAATAATGCAGCGTTTTTGCTGCATTTAAAATGCAACATTTCGAACATATGTTTTCGAAGAGCGTTCATGCTATCGCATTTAGCAAATGTACATTTACGCGAGTTCGAAATCGTATGCTTTTGACAAACAGCCGTGTTCCAGTCGCTTATTCAGATCCGTATCTATTACGATCAATTCTCACGCAGAAGATAATGTGCAAAAACCCTACTGAAAAGGAAAAAATAAATTTTAAACCAAAACTTCAATACAAAAATTTGAATTGTTTTAACCATGACCGACCATTCGTGTATGTATATATTCATTTGTCGGTGCTGTCAATTAAAATTTCCTCACTTAATTAGGAAACAAAACAAACAGAATTGATCACAAATTGATCCAGATTTCTATCA